CCCTCTTCAGTGCTTTACGAAGCCGTCTACTTGTTCTCTGGCTTTCAGTACTTCCACTCGTGCCATTTGTACTCTCCATGGTTAAGTATAACCAAAACAGTAACCACAGAAACCACAACAATAACAATCACACAACAATTGTTATAAAAACACACAATATGCGATCGCTCAACGAAACACGTTCCAATGCGTTGCCGACGCCTATGAGTCTGCCGGTCGAGGCGCGTCTTTGATTTCATTGGTTCTACCGGCGGAGAACAATCAGCCATTATTTCCATCTCTGTCTGTGCTGTTGACCACCGCAAAGCCACAGAAACGACATAAATATGTCGTACGCTATACGGCTGTACTGGAAGGAAGCCGGGATCGAGCTCTGATCACGTGTTGATCACGCGTATGAGTCATTACAGTTTTAAATAGTTGTAGTATAGGTCCACTACTATTTATTTTATACATTAATGACATTTGTGATATTTTAGATTGTAAAATTCAGATATTTGCAGATTATACATTAATATACGAATCAGATGAAAATATAGACACTGCTTTAAAAATGCTAAATTCCGACTTGGATAAAAATCGTAAATAGGTTAAATGTAAATAAACTAAAATTGAATACTTCTAAAACAAAATGTATGCTAATAGGGTAATGCTTGAATGAAAAATCTGTCACAGTTAGGATAAATGATGAAGTAATTGAAAAAGTTGAATGAAATAAAAATTGACAAAAGATTACATGAAAAGGTCTTTTCATAGTCTTCGTACATATTCCACAAAAATAGTATGTAATACTTATAATATACAGGGTGTTCCTTAAAGATATGCGAATAGTTAAGGATCTACATGAAAAATTAATGTTATTTTGCTTCATAAACTATGGTCCAAAAATTACCTACTTTAAAGGATGACATTATGGTGGAAAACGACGCTCATCAGATGATTATGCCTCAAGTAGTAGCTAACAAAAAGCGATCCTACACATCGGTTGAAGAGGTTGCTGCAAAAAAATTCCTCCGAAGCCTACCTTTGCTTCGGGCAAACAAGAGTCTGACGAGACGAGGCAGTTAACGACAACCCAGCTTCAACGATTAGTTTTAGTTGAACAACTCGTCTCCAACAACAATATTACTCTGCCAAGCTAAAAAATTTAAACGAGGCATCAAACGAAAAAGCCCCGCAAGAGTATGTTGTTGTTGGAGATAATGTTTACCAAAACCTGCAAATAGACGTATATGTAATATGTATCACTTATAACAAAAAAATAAAGGTTTTTTCCAGATCAAACGTATACGTAGTTTATTTTTAGTTTAAGCAAATACATCTTTGTACGTTTGAAGTAAGCGACATATACAGCATTACATGAAAGTTTTAATCCTAATTATACACCTATATTGTTATTGGTAATAAGACGAGCTAATTCCTCTCGCCTTGTGCATTTCTCTATAAATGGCAAGTCCTGTTCTTCATCTTTGTCATTTTCTTGAAAATCCTCATCTCTTAATTGCTTAGCAATATTGTGCAACACAGCACACGCAATTATAACTTTTGGAATACTGGTCAGTTTTACTCTGCATCCATACTTCAGGATAGGAAATCGCCGCTTTACTTGCCCAAATGTATGCACAATCACAACTCGCTCTGATGTATGCAGCCTGTTAAAGACTCTCTGATATTCCTCGTGGGGGTCGGTGTAAGGAGTCATAAGACATGACATTATACCATACCCACTGTCCCCTAGAAGAATGACTTCACACACTGCCGAATTTTTCCATATACGAGCATCATGGACTGATCCAGGCTAACTTGCATCTATAGTCAACGCCAAACAAAGTGGCGTGCACGTCATCAAGGTGGGTGTGTTGAAAAATTTACATTGTTGCCAAATTTTTTGTAAAATAATAAAATTTATTATTTACATATCTAGGTTTATAAGCAATATTAACCTCAAATGAGAACAAAAATAATAGTATAATAAAATTATAGATCTGTACTTGCATAATCATTAAGTATGACAATTATTGATCAGATGACACTATGAAACTACCATATTTAATTGATAGCTTAAAGGTACTGAATAAAAATCCAAATGGGGTCCTCCAAATTTTATGCATGGTATTTATTTTACAGAATTCATACAGAAAAATGCATTCTAAAATTAGGTAAGCTACTGGTGTAAGCTTTTTCTGTACAATAAAGTTAGTCGGAGTTTCTTTCTTCAGCGCTGTCTGAATCTGAATCTTCATCACTCTCAAAGTTGATTATTAAAGGTTCGATGTCTGGTCGATCAAAAATTCGTTCTCTTTCATACCATTTAAAAATTTCTTGCTCAGTATGTCGAACACTATTTTTCCACATGTCTGGGGTAACCGTTTGTAGAGCCTCGTTCCACATATCCAAACAGTCTTTTTCACTGTTACCATCTCTACCAATATGTCTGTTATAGTAACCTTTTGCTATGCCCCAAATTAACTCAATAGGGTTAAATATACAATGGTAAGGAGGCAGACGAAGAACTTTGTGCCCATGTTGTTCCGCCAATTCATCAATCACGTATATTTTAGGTGGTTTGTTTCTAAAAAAGCAGTTATTTTAAGAATAGGAATAAACAAAAGAAATATAAACTGTCGACCAAAATATATATAATTAAGAAGCATTATGTACCGAGCAACAATACTCAATAGCTCTGTTTTAAACATTGTGTTTAAAAATGGTATGTTTTGATTTGTCAACCAGTCTTGGATATTTTTTTTTGTCCATGCATTGTTGGGCACTTTGTTCAATATCATGCTGTGATAAGGGGCGTTATCCAGTATAATCATAGAAAGACTCTCCAATTTTTCTAATAACTGATGTTGAAACCATTTCAAAAAATTGTCCTGGTTCATCTCTCCATGGTAATCGCTCAATTTTGTTTTCGAAGAAAATATCGCTTCACTACCCTCAATAAACCCATTTTCATTTCCAGCATGTAATATAATGTATCTAAAATATATTAGTTTTAAATTTTATAGTGCAAATTGTGTAAAAGTACATACCTTTTACCATCTGTTTTAATAGCTTTCACGCTTTTTTGGTTTCCATTTTGCCAAGAGCGACCTATGGTCCCATTTTGAAATATCCAAGTTTCATCGAGGAAGACAAACTGGTATAAGGCCTCAACCTTGGCTTGATTGTATTGCCTTAGAAATTCCACCCTTTTCAAAGCTATATTTGGTAGTTCCATGAGCCCTCGTCGCGGATTGTCCTTAAGCCACTTAAATCCAAGATCTCTAAGCAACCGCCTTAAAGACGTGGCACTACCATCAAATAATGCCCTATCCCTTAATCGAGACCATAAAGTTTGTATCGTAACTTGTTCTTCTGAAACCATGTGTAATATGACATTATAATTTAGTTAACAAATTAATGCAAATTTCTGATAAGTTATTATAATAAGATCTTACTTTTGTGATACATATTATAGATCACTTCTCGAATGGCACTTGTATCCAATGTCGCTGTGTTGGTTACACGTTTAATATAACTCCGCTTTTTCTTGGGCGATTCTAAATTTGCATCACTTTTCACACCCTCGGAAATACGACTAACTGTCCTTAAACTAATTTTTAAAGCAGCAGCAACACGCTACAAAAAATGAAATAAAATTTCACTATTATTAATATACATTACATATAATTATTAGTAACCTACCTCTTGAACAGCATTTAAAGGCAACAAAGGCCCGTTGTTGTCCCTTTCTTGCTCAAAGTAGTGCATTAACGAGGCCACGAGTTCCTTACACCGACTATTTAACTGTTTGGGCATCTTTATATACCAAAATTGCCTTTATCTACTCGTAAAATGAATAATTTTGTTTTGAAACAAACAGTTGTTGATTTACAGTATGCGGGGCCAAAGGATTTATAAAGATTTGAAATGCCACAAATTGATTCAGTGTCAAAATTAATACAAATGTCAGTTCCCAGTTTAAATAAGTTTCAAGGTGACAATGTGTCAACGCTGCGAAATCGGTTTAGTGCGTTTACATGTCGATAAGTGATTGGAGCGTTTGCAAAACATTTTATTTCGCATAATGCGTCTAAATTTATCAGAAAGCAACTTATGTGATATTTTAATAACAATGTTTATATGACTATTAACCATAATAAGAGAGTAATGACCATTTTACAATTTATATATCACATTAATATGAAACTGCAATAGAGCAACTGTTTGTGATAGAAACCTAGGCATTAGGTCGGGGAATTTTTATCGTGATGACGTGCACGCCACTTTGTTTGGCGTTGACTATATACTAGTTATAACAGAATTCTGGTTGCATGTAACCTGTACATTAATACTGGCAAAACCTTTTGGATTTACATATTCGTCTCCAAATTGGGCTGGTTTTCCATCAAGACGAATATGCGTGCAGTCGATAACTCCAATAGCTGTGGAAAAACGGAACCTGGTCAACCATTTCTCGCACAGTGCCGCAGACATATTTTCTGCTAAGGTAACTGAGCTGGTCCACGCATAGCGAAATCCATGCCAAGAAAGCAATTTGCTAACCACACCACATTTTGCTCCTCAAATGTAAACAACGTCTTGAAATCTGACTCACGAGGTGTACGTCTTGGTTTGTAGTATTTTCTTTTACGTAAATGCACCACATTAGCCATAACTAACACAATACTGCGACTAATCAACCAAAGATCACTTAAACAAGCCCTTAAAAATAGATTTTATTAAACGAAAATGCACAAATTTTAAGATGCAGGCACTACGATGTTGGAACAACCAATGATAAAATGAGAAAAGTTGCTGTAACCTAGATTACTTTTTTTAGAAGCAAATCCTTTAGTTTTTAAGCAAATGCTTCTTTGTATAAATAAGAGAACGTTAACACCTTTTACTTTACAAAAGCGATACCTTTTCCTTCACTCCTTTTTATGCATATACTTTCAAGGAATTGCTTCATTTTTTCAAAGCAAAAGGTAAAACTTTTTTTTTATAAATATGTACTATTGTGTGCTCAATATGGTTGATACAGTGTTAGTGATAACATGTTGTAAAGCTATTAAACTACTCACATTTCGGTCTAAAGCATAAAACGTCGGCTGAGCATCTGAAGAGTCTGATACTGTTGTACTTCCTGAAACAAATCTTTTGATTTTCGCCAAGGGATAGACTAAAACACCCGGTATCATTCTTCGTGGTGGACTATCCTTATCATTGGCCGTTGCCAAGAGCTGCAACAGCTTTTCGGTATCTTCAGCGCATTCCGGGGGTACTCCTCTTTTCAATACTGGTAAAGTATACGTCGGTACGAACTGAAACAATATAATTATCAAACAATCATGTTGTAATAACAACAAATTACAAAAGTGCGCGGAAAATCATTGATGTGAGATAAAAACGTTCTGCCAAAGACGAATGAACCAATATTGAAGCCTTTTCGAACTTTCATCGATGTTTTTACACTCAGGTACAAAATAAACCCAACAAGCAAAATGCTGATCAAATTCTGACGTCATAACTTTTCCATTTTTTACTTGACTTTAGTGATTGATGGGGGTAGGTGATAATCATTGGCTTTAATTTGCATATCTGGTTTTTTGAGTGTAACCATGGTTTGACTTGTAGTACAGGGCAAATCAAAATTATGTTTCCTTACTCTGGTTTTGACTCTCTGTGGTGTGGTTCTAGTTGTCAATCAGCAATGTCATTATCAAGATCCACATTTTCTCTAGGATCTGTTTATACTCGTATATTACATATGTCAATATGTACAGTGGTTGAAGTTTTAGAGGCAACTGAACGTTTCACCACCAATTTTCTTTCTGTCTTTCATACATTTTCTAATTACCGTACGGATTGAAAAAGTTTTTCGTGAAATTGTACTAAAATCTTTTTTATTGGGTTCAGATTTTTTTTATATAGTATATGATTTCGTTTATACAGGGTGTCCCGAAAAAAGTGTGCAATATTCTACCAGCAGTTTCTACAGCTTAAAATAGGAAGAAAAGTTTATATAAACATAGGTCGACAAACGTCCTCTAAGGGCTTTTAAAGGGGCTTCCCTGAAGATGGTTTTTCCTTAATATTTCCGCAACGTGTTGAGATAAAGACATAAAATTTGATATTCTAGCCTGTTTTTTTATGCTGGATTTAAAAATATTAACAATTTTAGACAGCTTTGTTTGGAAGCGTATGTAACAGGGACGGACTCAGGTTATTTTATCCCCAAAATTTTTGTGTGATTCTATCTTTGAAATTCAATTTTAGAATTTGAAAATTTAGGGTTTTCTACATAAAAAGGTACTCTTATTGAATATCGATAAATTGTGCCATTTTCATTGGCAGCCGTAAGAGAATATCAAAGAAGATTTCCCAATCACATCGTACCTGGACGTCGAATGTTTACTGATATTCACCGGAATTTGTCAAACCATGGACGTTTTCAGCGCATGCAGGGCTCAGGAAGGCCACTGGGAAATCATCGTATGGATATTGCTTTAAATATGTTTGAAAATAATCCGCAAATAAGCATACGAAATGTTTCAGAAAATATGGATATACCTCGATCAATAGTAAGAAAAATGTATGAATACCTATTTTATAGTTATCCTAAAAATAATAATTTTAGATAGGAAGAATGACAAGAATGCAAGGATTACATCCTTATCATTTTAAACGGGTGCAGCATTTGACGGAGGCAGATTCTTTACCACGAATCGAGTTTTGCCAGTGGATATTAGCAAATGAAAACACTATTCCTAGAATATTATGGTCGGATGAGTCAATATTTACTAGGAATGGTGCTTTTAATTTCCATAACATGCATCACTAGTCAGATGAAAATCCAAAAGTTGTTCGCCGTACAAGTTTCCAACATAGATTTTCATTGAAGTTATGGGCAGGACTAATTGGGGATCAAGTAATTGGGCCTATTGTACTTCCCAATCATCTTAATTCAGAGGTGTATCTGAACTTTCTTCAGAATGAGCTCATGGATATAATACCACTTAATGTGCGTCAGCAGTTTCAAGAAAATATGTTTTTCAACATGATGGCGCCCCTGCACATTTTGGACGCAATGTTCGAAATTGGTTGAATGTCAATTTTCCAGACAGGTAGTTAGACTGTGGAGGTCCTATAGCGTGGCCGCCACGTTCACCTGACCTAAATCCATTGGATTTCTATTTTTGGGGGTCATTAAAAGACCTAGTTTACTCGACTGAAGTAAATACTCAAGAAGATTTACTTCAAAGAATCCATCAGGCTGCAAATGAAATAAGAAGAAGAAGGTTTTCCACTTTTCGGGCTACGCAATCATTAGTTCGTCGAGCGAGACTCTGTATCCACCAAATTGGGAATTTATTTGAACACTTATTGTAAAGCTAATTTTAGGTATATGCAACTCTTCTTTTTTAAACAAATTTCAATTTCGTTCGTAGAAAAAATTTATTTCTTCTGTTGTTGCCTAAATGTTAGCTATGATGCAATAGAAATATGTATTTATAGTCAACGCCAAACAAAGTGGCGTTGCTTTCTGATAAATTTAGACGCATTATGCGAAATAAAATGTTTTGCAAACGCTCCAATCACTTATCGACATGTAAACGCACTAAACCGATTTCGCAGCGTTGACACATTGTCACCTTGAAACTTATTTAAACTGGGAACTGACATTTGTATTAATTTTGACACTGAATCAATTTGTGGCATTTCAAATCTTTATAAATCCTTTGGCCCCGCATACTGTAAATCAACAACTGTTTGTTTCAAAAAAAAATTATTCATTTTACGAGTAGATAAAGGCAATTTTGGTATATAAAGATGCCCAAACAGTTAAATAGTCGGTGTAAGGAACTCGTGGCCTCGTTAATGCACTACTTTGAGCAAGAAAGGGACAACAACGGGCCTTTGTTGCCTTTAAATGCTGTTCAAGAGGTAGGTTACTAATAATTATATGTAATGTATATTAATAATAGTGAAATTTTATTTCATTTTTTGTAGCGTGTTGCTGCTGCTTTAAAAATTAGTTTAAGGACAGTTAGTCGTATTTCCGAGGGTGTGAAAAGTGATGCAAATTTAGAATCGCCCAAGAAAAAGCGGAGTTATATTAAACGTGTAACCAACACAGCGACATTGGATACAAGTGCCATTCGAGAAGTGATCTATAATATGTATCACAAAAGTAAGATCTTATTATAATAACTTATCAGAAATTTGCATTAATTTGTTAACTAAATTATAATGTCATATTACACATGGTTTCAGAAGAACAAGTTACGATACAAACTTTATGGTCTCGATTAAGAGATAGGACATTATTTGATGGTAGTGCCACGTCTTTAAGGCGGTTGCTTAGAGATTTTGGATTTAAGTGGCTTAAGGACAATCCGCGACGAGGGCTCATGGAACTACCAAGTATAGCTTTGAAAAGGGTGGAATTTCTAAGGCAATACAATCAGGCCAAGGTTGAGGCCTTATACCAGTTTGTCTTCCTCGATGAAACTTGGATATTTCAAAATGGGACCATAGGTCGCTCTTGGCAAAATGGAAACCAAAAAAGCGTGAAAGCTATTAAAACAGATGGTAAAAGGTATGTACTTTTACACAATTTGCACTATAAAATTTTAAACTAATATATTTTAGATACATTATATTACATGCTGGAAATGAAAATGGGTTTATTGAGGGTAGTGAAGCGATATTTTCTTCGAAAACAAAATTGAGCGATTACCATGGAGAGATGAACCAGGACAATTTTTTGAAATGGTTTCAATATCAGTTATTAGAAAAATTGGAGAGTCCATCTATGATTATACTGGATAACGCCCCTTATCACAGCATGATATTGAACAAAGTGCCCAACAATGGGTTGACAAATCAAAACATACCATTTTTAAACACAATGTTTAAAACAGAGCTATTGAGTATTGTTGCTCGGTACATAATGCTTCTTAATTATATATACATTTTGGTCGACAGTTTATATTTCTTTTGTTTATTCCTATTCTTAAAATAACTGCTTTTTTAGAAACAAACCACCTAAAATATACGTGATTGATGAATTGGCGGAACAACATGGGCACAAAGTTCTTCGTCTGCCTCCTTACCATTGTATATTTAACCCTATTGAGTTAATTTGGGGCATAGCAAAAGGTTACTATAACAGACATATTGGTAGAGATGGTAACAGTGAAAAATACTGTTTGGATATGTGGAACGAGGCTCTACAAACGGTTACCCCAGACATGTGGAAAAATAGTGTTCGACATACAAGCAAGAAATTTTTAAATGGTATGAAAGAGAACGAATTTTTGATCGACCAGACATCGAACCTTTAATAATCAACTTTGAGAGTGATGAAGATTCAGATTCAGACAGCGCTGAAGAAAGAAACTCCGACTAACTTTATTGTACAGAAAAAGCTTACACCAGTAGCTTACCTAATTTTAGAATGCATTTTTCTGTATGAATTCTGTAAAATAAATACCATGCATAAAATTTGGAGGACCCCATTTGGATTTTTATTCAGTACCTTTAAGCTATCAATTAAATATGGTAGTTTCATAGTGTCATCTGATCAATAATTGTCATACTTAATGATTATGCAAGTACAGATCTATAATTTTATTATACTATTATTTTTGTTCTCATTTGAGGTTAATATTGCTTATAAACCTAGATATGTAAATAATAAATTTTATTATTTTACAAAAAGTTTGGCAACAATGTAAATTTTTCAACACACCCACCTTGATGACGTGCACGCCACTTTTTTTGGCGTTGACTATATGTAATATTTACCAATTATTAAATTAGTTTTTTCGTTGCCGTGGATAATTATTCAAGAATTCATTTAAATTCGCAGTACATTTCCTATCATGTGACAAATTTTTTAGTTTGATTTTATTCAAAAATGGCACAATTTATCGATATTCAATAAGAGTACCTTTTTTATGTAGAAAACCCTAAATTTTCAAATTTTAAAATTGAATTTCAAAAATAGAATCACACTAAAATTTTCGGGCTAAAATAACCTGAGTCCGTCCCTGTTACATACGCTTCCAAACAAAGCTGTCTAAAGTTGTTAATAGTTTCAAATGCAGCATAAAAAACTAGGCTAGAATACCAAATTTTATGTCTTTATCTCAACACGTTTCGGAAATATTAAGGAAAAACCATCTTCAGGGGGCACCTTTAAAAGACCATAGCGCCGTTAGGGGACGTTTGCCGACCTATGTTTATATTAACTTTTCTTCCTATTTTAAGCTCTAGAAACCGCTTGTAGAATATTGCACACTTTTTTCGGGACACCCTGTATACATTGGCGAAGAAAATGGAAACTTTTGACTTAATTTAAGATCACGCTGAATAATAATTCAACGCTATATTCTTTTCGAGTACACTGTCTGGGAAATAAGCAAAATTTCCTCATACTCTAATTTTAGATTAATTAAAATTCGAAATAGGATTATTCTTTTACTTATTGTTTACTCTTACTATTCTCTACTCTCTTTACTCTTGATAGGCGCGTTCTCGATATCTCGGGTCCGAGATAATTTTCCATTCATTGAATGTGAAAGCACGATTCAGGCATATTTTGCACTATACAGAGAGGTATATTTTCAAAATGCATACTAAATTTAATGAATAATCGACATGTAACATAACGCGTATATAGACCAAGAAGATGACAATATGATATACCGCTGTCGTATGATCTTCCTGAGGCGCCTTGCAGCACATATTGGCAACGCGAGTGTTCGCCAAGGGTCGACTTCAATACTCTTTCTGAGCACCCCTACCCTGCTCCCCTGGGTAACTCAGACCATGATGTTGTATAGGTCAGGTTTCACTCATAACCAGCTGTGTCAGCAGGTAAACTCTTCCAGGCTGCAAAATTTGGCATTACAGACATGCCAATTGGGAAGGGTTCAGGAGTTTTTCTCCACCCTACATGGAGTTCCTTGATCATCGTGGCTTGATTAGCGACAGGCAATATGGTTTCCGGCACCAACGATCCACAGGGGACCTCCTAGCTTATGTCACCCAGTTGTGGAGTAAACTCATCCATTCATATGGTGAGGCTCTTGATACCACAAAGCATTCGATTAGTTATGGCATGCTGCCGTTTTATGCAAACTTCAATCCTATGGCCTCCCAGAGAAGCTTTGCAGATGGGTGGCTGACTTACTATCTGGCCGTAAAATATCCATCTTAATTGAAGGTTCCCCTCTTCACCCAAAAACGTCAAGGCGGCTGTTCCCCAGGGATCGATCTTGCCTACGACATTGTTCCTCTTGCATACCAACGATCTCCTTTTCTGAACGGTTAATACAATCCAAGCGGCAGATTTGATATAATTGGCCCGTGAAGTCTAGAGAAATCACAAATAAGCAGTCACATGCATGTTTCAGAATTTGAATCTTTACACTTTCAAATAGCGCCAAATATTGTGTTCGACAAGTACTGTCTAGCAGTGGCGGCTCGTGGCAAAATAAAACAGGTGTTCTGCAAATCCGAACTTACCTATTTTTTATATGTCAGTTCGATCCTGCGCTCCTTGGCAGCAAATTTGTCGATCACCTTCCCGTTGAAATTTTCCATGGTCGAAATAAATTCCTTTTCAATGGACAGCATCGACAACGCTGTAAGGCGATCCTGGGTCATAGTATTTCGAAGAAAGGTCTTGATTCTTTTCAATGTTGAGAAATTTCCCTCAGCCTCTGATGTTGACATAGGAGTTGTAACAATAATTTCTAATAGTTTTTCTGTTTCTTTTAGTGTTTCATCCAAACTATTTTGTATCAAAAATTTCAAAAGAGACAGAGTTCCATGTAAATCTCGGCAATCATTCCGTGCATAAATGACAGACAACTCTGTCTTTAAACGACTTTTTTCTAATTCTGGATAAGCCAAGCAGGTAGATTCCAACTTGTCATCAGGAAACTTACCACAGTATTCCCCAAAGTGTTCGAGGAAAAAAAGGAATGCGTCTACCAAATGATCTTTGAATTGAAATCTGTCATTTGCAGAATTCACTATATTGTCGCATGCTTCTAATGCGGCAACTCGGTGATCGTGACTGCTATTATTACGTCGTCTCCTTTTGTTGCCTTGGGGTTCAGTGCAAATACTTTTGGCTTCATTTATTATGTCATCAATTTTATTTCTCACATCGATAATACATTTTTCAAAATTATCGATAGCCGTTTTAACTTGCGCTGGCTCGGTTTTTCACTTCTGCAACTGGTTGAACAAGATGTCGACGTGAGGCATGACATGATGAAAAAATGTCAACCAAACCACGAAAACAGAATCGTTTAACATACGGCGAATACCGCAAGCTGCCTTACAAACGGTTTCATTAGTAAAATTTTCTTCTATTTCTTCCATGCATTCAATGAGTGATTCTCTGTTCTCAAATTCTCAAACACTACATTTATTGTTCGAATATTAAAATTCCAACGAGTTGTTGATCCTTGGGGAATTTATTTCCCACAATTCTGTTCAGTACCTCTACGCGTTGAGGATAATTATTAAAAAATCCCGGAATATTTTTCAAGTCCCCAAAGAACACCCGAACTTGAGCATCTGCGGAAGCACCTTGGGACATAATCAGGTTTAACTGATGCGCACAGAAATGCACATAGTGAGCAAATGGATATCTTTGTTTAATTTTTGCATGTACTTCAGCATTATGTCCGCTCATTACCGCGGCTCCATCATAGCTTTGTGAAATCAGTTTGTTAGGGAAATTTCCTATTAATGGATCAACGACGCCCAAAATATGTCTTGTGAGAGTATCAGCGTCACATTTTTCGGGATTCATATAATTCCAAAAACGTTCTGCTGATTCGCCGTTAAATACATGCAGCACATGGTTATGCTTAAATCGCGCATTTGATTTTGTAGAGAGAGACAAAAGCGAGCGCGTGCGGCTTGTGTCGAAGTAGCGCACAGACCCTTTTCAAGTGGCCCATGAATAATGTTACGCTGCGGTCGCGACTAAAATGACAAGTACACAATTGGTCGATTATAATGCTTTCTCAGTACAAAACAGACTCGACGCCGTGTCTTGCGGGGGCAGCGTTGCCGGTATTGTTTCTATTTGTCTGATTACATGGAACATAAATAATGATCAGAGTAGCAGTTCTGTAGCTCTGCAGAACTTAAGGGCCAGCCGCCCCTGCTGTCTAGCCATCTTAACCTTTCTCATATTTCTCAGTTGTATAATATCCAACGATATGAAATAAACCAGTATTAAAGTTCTGACCTCTTACTCCTATAGTTACCTCTATAGATGCTTTAGTTGACTGATCCAGCCCAACCTCCAGTTCAGTGACGGCATTATCCCCTGCAAAATCCAGATCAGCTTTGTCATTATGGAACCTTTTCAGCTTCTTTCCAATCGGGTATATGAGTATTCCAGGGACCATGCTACCTCCAGCGTGGATAGCGACACTTTCCGTTGCCATCTTGTCCTCGTTCAGGTTCAGATGTGTAACAGGATTGGGCAAGTTCAAAGCGAACTCGTTATAGTCGGTGCTGCTTGGTAGCGGTACCTAATTTTCGATGAACAAGAACAATTCATTATTTTGTGGATAAATATACAGGGTAAGTCTTTAGTGTGGTCTCGAACGATACCTCCTGGTTTCCATACCATACCATTTATTGACCACATCATGTATACTAAGTGACATATAAATCCGAACACCCAGTTTAAATGGTTTTATTTTAATAAAAGTTGGTGAATGTATTTATCTTACTATAAATAACAAGTGAAAAATGTTCAGCCTTATCAGTTGGACATTCCGGTTTTTATACTGCTTTTTTTAATTTACTAACGCTCTAAAAATGAATATTTCAGCCGCAGTAAAGAATCAACGTTGGCGGATTTTGGTTCTTGACATCCTTTACGATCGGTTACGATGCCTAGAGTACGGAGACCTGTACGATTTCGTCAACTTAGTGAGTTTGATAGGGGCCGTATAGTGGGACTTCGGGAAGCTGGACTTTCTTTTCGGGCAATTGCAGTTAGAGTGCAAAGAAGTGTAAACACTGTGGTTAGGTGTTGTTAGGCATGGCTTCGAGAAGGCCGTACGCAAAGAGCAAGGGGCACTGGACGCCGCCGTAGAACAACAGACCGTGAAGATCGCCGCCTAAGATTATTGGCCTTAAGGGACCGTTTCTCCACTACCAGGTCCATTGCAAAGAATGGTTTGCAGAACACGGAAGACCTATTGGCATGCGAAGTGTTTACCGACGAATGAGAAGTTTTGGCTTGTTTTCATACCGGCCACACTGGGTCCTCCCTTTAACTCGAGAACACCGACGTAATCGCCTTGAGTGGTGCAGACAACGGTCACTCTGGGATCAGGAATGGAACAGTATTGTCTTTAGTGACGAGTCTCGATTTTGTTTAGGCATGCACGATGGTCGTGCCAGGGTTAGAAGGCGACGTGGTGAAAGGAGGAATCCACAGTTTTTTGTTGAAAGACATGTTCATCACACTGTTGGAGTTATGGTTTGGGGTGCTATAGCTTATGGTTCCAGGTCAACTTTAATCTTCATCAGAGGTAACATAAACGCGCAGCGTTATATCCACGAAGTTCTAGAACCCCATCTTTTACCCTATCTTGACACCCTGGCAGATCCAACTTTCCAACAAGATAATGCCCGACCACATGTTGCAAGAGTCACAATAGACTTCTTTCAACATAATGATGTCACATTGTTACCATGGCCACCAAGATCTCCTGACTTATCCTCAATTGAGCACGTGTGGGATATGATGGGTAGGAGATTGCTCAATTTGCAACGTCCTCCTCAGACTCTAGATGCACTTCGAGAGGAGTTGGTGGTTGCCTGGAATAAAATACCACAAGAGGACATTGACCACCTGATCAGAAGTATGCCTAGGCGCACTGGAGAATGCGTAGCACATCAGGGTGCATCCACACATTATTAAAGGTCAAAGGGCTTTAAAGCAGTGCAATCATTTTGAAATTTTTATCATTTACTTATTATGCTTCATTAAGTACTTATACAAAATTTTATTAAAATAAAACCATTTAAACTGGGTGTTCGGATTTATATGTCACTTTGTATACTAACCGTCCAAAGAGGCATTGAAGCTGACGTTGCTGAGGAAGCTGTTGTAGCTGTCGTCGTACTACTTATCGCTGTCACGCTCTTACTAGTCGAAAAAGACATAGTAGACGCCTCAGTCAATTTCACGTTGAGATCTCCGTTCAAATCACGAACAGTGTAGCCTGCTAATCCGTCGTTAACTTGGTGAGAAAACATGACCGGTACGTAAGTATAACCTTTGTGTTTCAACTTGTTGGAAACTAAAAACTTTGCTATGTCTTTGAACAGGTCATCTTCTTGCATTTTGTCAAGCGTGTCCCTCCGTTGCAACCGCTTTATCATTTTTTGTTTCCTCTTCAGCAGTGTGGCAGTAGAGTGTCGCTTTCTTCGCCTTTTCCTGACGTACCTATGGTTCAAAAAATAAAGACATTTATTCGAATATTTAATTTACTAGACATAGGCCGAATAATTCAGATGGAAAGTCGAAAAACAACCTGCTCTCAAGACACTGAAACAAGACAGCACTATCAAAATACTTGCAGCAGATAAGGGGAATGCTAGTCATCATAGATACAACGACATACGACAGAAAAATTGACTAAGCAATGAGGAAAGAAGATTACAAGCAACTGCGAAAGGATCCAATGGACAAAATTGAGAGATAACTAGCTTAAAAGTTAAAGAAGTACAAAGAATACCTAACAGAAAATGTTGACACCAAACTTCAGCAATCCGTCATACCTTTACGGCTTAACAAAGGCTTGCAGAGAAGATACGTCACTTTGGCATATAGCCAGCTCAAGAGGATCCCTGACATACAACTGGGCCAAATATCTTCAGCCACGGGAAGGAACAACATCATCACACATCAAAGACTCCAAAAATTTCGTCAAAATTGTACGAACTATATACAGAAGCAGGAAGAAAGCCTGTAGGTACTCCAAGAAGTTCTACAAATAATCCAGACGAAACTTAGAGAAGTCTAGGATCTGGAAGAGAAGACAAGCCTACTGATGGAAGGGATAATACAGGGTGTTTCAGTTTATTGTTGCATAACTTTAAGATTCGATAGAACTTTTAAAATTGATGCATAAAGTCTATATAAACATGGGTCGAAAAATGCGTGGCTTCCGAAATACAGGGTGTTTAAATTTACTTTCTAAAATAGTTTTTTTTAAATATTTCGAACAATATATAATGTATAATAGTGAAAATTGGTATACAAGGGTTTTTTGGTACGACAAAAAGAACCATGGACATAGTTTTACTGTTGCCGCTAGAGGGCGCTCTCTACTGTAACTGTAGTGTATTAAGATGACCGAAAAAATTTTCTTAGTACAATTTTTTGCCTATTGAATAAAAAAACTGATTCTTCGCACTTTTCTGCATAAAAAAGCTCTCTTGTGAGTTTTCGTTATAGTTAGCCGTTTTTGAGATATTTCGATTTTTAAGGTTCGATGCATTTGTAATTATTTATGATCAAATAACGTTAAAAAGTCAGTATCTCGATAATTTTTAGAAGTAGGCTGTGCCTGCAAATATTTTCGAAATTGAAAGCAGAATAAGGTTAAACGTCAATTAGTTGACAGTTAGTTTTATTGTCTGTTGAAACCTGAAACGTTTTTTTGCAATTGTGAATGCACGAAATTTAGTTTCTTTAACCTGTTTTTTTTTTTTGTAAATTTTATAAAAATGCCATTTTTATTCTCCAATCAAGAATTAGGGGATATTCATTTTGTGTACGGCTTTGTAAATGGAAACGCAGCCAGAGGATACGCACCAAGATTTCCAAACAGACGACATCCAACTCGCTCAGTATTTGTAAGAGTGCATCGCCAAATAATTGAAAATGGTTTTGGAAATCTCCACAGGGATCAAAACATAAATGTTCGTCAGCGCAGATTTACCCGTATGATTCTGCGTGAGTTTGATAGAGATCTGACCACAAGTGTTAGGAGAGTTTCTGGTGCCTTGGGAATTTCAGCAAGCCATGTTCACCGTGTTCTTAGAAATGACCATAGACGTCCTTACCATTTGCAACCTGTGCAAAGACTACAGCCAGGGGACGGAGAACGAAGAATCACATTTTGTCAGTGGATTCTTGATAGAACTGATAATAATAGGGAGTTTTTAAGTAACGTTTTATGGACCGATGAGTCATGCTTCACTAGACGTGGAGTGGTAAATTTTCATAATCAACATATTTGGTCGCATGAAAATCCGCAAGCAGTCCGGGAAAGAAATTTTCAGCATGAATTTAGTGTGAGCGTGTGGATTGCTATCTACCGTAATCGACTATTTGGACCCTACCTTTTGCCTGCAAGGTTAAATGCTGTGACCTTCTTGGAATTTTTAAAGGCTGAACATGCAAATATGTGGGATGATGTTATGTTAGATTTAAGAAGATTGGCCTGTTTCCAGCTTGATGGTTGTCCAGCTCATTATTCGAGAATAGTTAGAAACTGGCTGGACGAAAATTATCCAGAAAGATGGATCGGCCGTGGAGGACCAGTCGCCTGGCCTCCACGATCCCCTGACCTATATCCATTAGATTTCTTTGTGTGGGGATTTCTAAAAGAAAAATTGTACCAGACACCCGTAACCACAAGAGATATGCTAATAGACAGAATCAGGAATGCATGTGATGAAATAAGGCCTTATTTGAATAATGCTATACCACGTTCGATCATTCGTAGATGTTAATTGTGTATTGAACAATTGGGTTTACATTTCGAGCAAAAACTTTAGATTTTGTATGTTTGTTTTAACTATCCAATAGCATTTCAGTTGTAAATAATTAATTTAATTTGTTAAAAATAATATTGGAAAATTAAACAAATTAATATTCTGTTTTTTTGTGTTTATTTGGAGTTACTAATTATTGCTGTGTTTAAAAACACAATCTAAACGATCATCTTAATTACTTGTAATGCCCAAATCGAAAATGTAAAATAAATATTATTTTCCCATAAATAATTAAAAATGCATCGAACCTTAAATATCGAAATATCTCAAAAACGGCTAACTATAACGAAAACTCACAGGAGAGCTTTTTTATGTTTAAAAGTGCGAAGAATCAGTTTTTTTATTCAAAAAGTAGAGAGCGCCCTCTAGCGGCTACAGTAAAACTATGCCCATGGTTCGTTTTGTCGTACCAAATAACCCTTGTATACCAATTTTCACTGTTATACATCTGATATTATTCGAAATATTTAAAAAAAAACTATTTTAAAAAGTAAATTTAAACACCCTGTATTTCGGAAGCCACGCATATTTCGACCCATGTTTATATAGACTTTATGCATTAATTTTAAAATTTCTATCGAATCTTAAAGTTATGCAACAATAAACTGAAACACCCTGTATATGGAGTGGCTTAAGTCGATTGCCATTAAAATCTTCGATGTTAAGCCGAAGCACTTTCGTGATCTGAAACCATGAATATGAGAAACTGCAGGCCTTCTTCGAACCCCTAAACAATCTAAGACCATCGATAAAACTTAAAAGGGAAGAAGAGAACAATAACAACCCCCATTCTTGGTAACAAGGAACAATAGCAAAATAGAAGCTACTGTATACAGAAAACGGACACATACAGGACAATATCCAAATTTATGTTCCAGTCATCCAGCAACTACAAAGAAAGGCGTAATAAGAACGCTTGTCGTACCGGTCAAAGAGTATCTGCAACACGCAAACAAGTCTCAAGGAAGAAATCAACCACATCACAGAAGATCTGATAAGAAATGGCTACCCAAGACGACTGATAAATGAAATTCTGAACGAAAACACCAATATTAGAAACACGCGGAATGAGCCCCACCATACACTAATTCCATCATATGTCGGGGGAATAAGTGATGCACTGAGAAGAATAGGAAGACGAACCAAATCGAAACTAGATTTTCAAGGAACACCAAACTTCGCAGTATCCTGGCGAAGATAAAACCTATGAACAAAAATAAAACTCCAAAGATTGTGTATATCAGCTACCATGTGAATGCGGAGAAAAACTACGAACTTACCATTTATGCTTAAGTTCATTAAATCATTGATATAGACCAAGAATAGGATCGGATCTAATACTGATCCAAGAGGTACGTCTATGTTTATTCTTAATTTTATACGTTGTTTACAATTTGGGATCAATTATTCAAATATGTTCCTTTGAATGGATTAGTTCTGTACTCACCTTTTTACGCAGTCTTTGGCATTTGGATGTTCCAAAATCCCTTGTGGTGTATTCGGTTCTAACTTCCTCACTATGAAGACAAACGTGTTCCACTTATCTGAGAGATTTGAACGATCTGGAGGTTTATATATCGAGTTCATTAATAGCCGATCCACAAGAGGATTTCTGAGGATCTGGTTGATTGCATTGCAGGCGTCTTCGAGGTCTGCATCTTCCGATAACGATGGTGCTCCAACGGGTTGTGTTGACGATTTCCCAGTATTTTCTGAAATGCAGATTTGCTGAAGAGAATGGCCTAATAGCCAAGAACATTTGGCTCTTCTATTTTGTTTCTGCTTACCTGGATCATATTCAGGTTCTCCAATAGTAGAAGCATGTTTACAAGTAAAATGTTCTACCTGGGATAGAGTATCTTTGCTGCGATTGAATATCTTGGGTTTGCTAATTTCTGTTCTCCGCGATTCCACGTGGTAGTAGCCAGATTCGTCCGCACTATTTTCAGCTATATATTGGATGGGTCTTTCGAATATAAAACGTCCAGAGTTTTTGCCTGCAACATGAAGGAAAGCTTTGGTATAAAAGTTTTCACTCTGCGTCTTTAAAATCATGGACGGGGGTAGGAGAACAGAAACGAAGAAATAATAAGATTAATTTCGAACTTTTTAACTCTGTGAATCGTGTCGAGGTTGCTGTGAACCTTTTTTTTTGAGATATACCATTTTGTAAAGTCGAATTTTGTTGATCAATCTTATTCATTTTGAGATTCTGTATATGAAGATGCATTTAATTGCACTATAACCGACTCTATCAGAGATGCCTTGTTAGGCAAGTCGCAGTCTTTTGGAATCAGGGCAGTTTGGACCTTTTGAACCCTGTCAAAGGGTTTACACACTGCTATCTTAGTCGAACTGCAAAGGGAGGATCCTGTCCTTCAGTGCAGGGGTGAATTGATTATAATCAACTAGACAACAAATTTTAGTTTTTTAATTGTATCTTGTGGGAAAAGTGCACTTCTTTGTTAATTTTGGGGTGCTGAATCCAAAAATGACAATGAAATAAAAAAATTAGTTGCGGTTTAGAAAAAAAACTTTTTATTTTTAAGGATATATTAAAAAAAGTAACAAGATTCATATACTTATAAGAATCACTATATGCGCTGTCTTTTTGCTGTTCTTTTATGGATCGTTTCTGGAGCATCTCTACCAAGAGTCCAACAGTAGTCTGCAAGCATGGAAGGATTCCACTTTCCCTGGTACCTTTTTTCCATTGTTGAAATATCCTGATGAAAACGTTCGCCGTGCTCATCACTTACGGCTCCGCAATTGTCAGGAAAAAAGTCCAGGTGTGAGTGTAGGAAATGTATCTTAAGAGACATATTACCATCTTTTGATGCGATGACAGCATATTTTTGACAAGGGTTTTATAGTTGTCAGCTTTTCTATTTCCCAAGAAATTAGTGACCACCAGACGGAAATCATTCCAAGCACTTTTTTCAATACCTGTTAAAGTGTTTTCAAACTGTGAATCTTTCAAAATATTTCGAATCTGTGGCCCAACAAAAATACCTTCTTTAACCTTTGCCTCACTTAGTCTTGGAAATTTCTGACGCAGGTATTGAAAAGCTGACCCATCTCTATCTAATGCCTTGACAAAGTTTTTCATTAGGCCCAACTTGATATGCAGTGGTGGTAATAAAATTTTTTTCGAATCTACTAAAGGCATATGCTGTACATTTTTTTGACCTGGCTCTAGGAATTGACGAACAGGCCAGTTTTGTCTGGTGTAATGAAGTGCCTTTGCCCGACTGTCCCATTCACACAAAAAACAGCAAAACTTTGTGTAGCCTAGCTGCAGCCCAAGTAAAAGTGCAACAACTTTCAAATCGCCACAAATATGCCATTGGTGCTCATCGTATTTTATGCATGTCAATAGGTACTTCATATTGTCATATGATTCTTTCATGTGAACTGCATACCCTACAGGAAGAGATGGTAAAATATTTCCAATATGCAATAACACTGCCTTTAAACTCAATGTTGAACTGTCTATAAACAATCTCCATTCTTCTGGGTTATAGTTTATATTTAAAGCCGCCAGTAAGCCGTTAATGTTGCTGCAGAAAACCAAACATCGTCTTCTAACAAGTTCCACTGCTGCAGTCTTGATCCAAGTAACTCTGCCTTACATTTTGGAAGTTCTAAATCTCTTACAAGATCATTTAATTCTGACTGTGTTATTTTGTGCGGTTGGTGGCATGACGTGCTCGGTATAAAATCAGGATCTCTTGACGTTGATGGCATATCTTCTTCCTGACGAATCACTCGATCGCCATGATCTGATTCGTTTTCTGATTCGCAAGTGTTTAGGATTCTGGTGGTTTTGGAATAGGATTTTCGTCACTGTGAGCCACAGGTCTCATCGCAGATGGTATGTTTGGGTAGTTAATAACAGATTTTTTTTTCTTGGACATACCTGTGGCTTGTCCAACACAAGGTACCATGCAAAAGTAACAATCATTAATATGATTTCTAGGCTCTCTCCAAACCATTGGGACAGCAGAGCACATAGACCGTTTTTTGTCATTTAACCAGCTCCTCAGACTTGAAGCACATGTATTACAGCAGATGTGGGGTGCCCACTGTTTGTCTTGATCACCTAGTTTACAACCGAAATAAAGCTGATATGCCTTTGTTATTAGTGGAGTAATAGACCATCTCTGAGACGCAAAAGTCACATCACCACACACGTAACAAAACTGATCTAGATTGTTTACACACTTTCGAGACATCTTGCATGAACGCTGTCAGCCAACTGAGGAAAAAATGGCTAATATGAAACAATATAATGTACACGTATGTATAACGTAACACAACCATGCCGATTACATCATCTTTCTTGCCGAATATAAAAATGTAGCACGTGCATTCTTGTGAATTACAGTATATTAACACTGTCACAGCAGGAACACATATAATTACCGTATCTCTAAAATTTGAACTAATATTGAAAAAATAAGTTTCATTCCGGTTTTAGCACATTAAAAATAGTAATATTTTGTTGATTTTATTTAGGATATTTTTTGGCTGTTGATCAGTGTTATCCTTGAATATCGTTTCAACCGTAAGTTTAACGTGGAGTATCCAACGAACGGCGGAGTGAGACTCCGGTAACCGGAAGGTCTCCGGAAGAAGTGGGCACGTCTGGTACACGGTCATTGAAGAGGGTTCTGGCGCCGGAGTCCTTGGGGTGGTTTGCGTATCCCGCATTTGGAGTGAAAAGGGCTTAGGAGAAGAATAACAATGCACGTACCTTCGGAAGTACTACATTTCTTTGTTTGTATTATTTAACTGATGCATGTATTCATTCTTAGATGACCATAGCTTATCTGTTCATGAGTACCTAAATATGCTTTCTGAAATCAATTTTATTTCGCTTGTAAAATACTAATTTGAGTCCTTAAAGAATCCAATACCCGCATTGACCAAATTTTTCTTAAAAGTGGATTCAAAGAAATTGATAAATGCACTGTTTCGTAGTAAAATCAACTATAACCGATCATTATGGTACCATACTAACACTACCCCTTAATCGAGCAAGTTTCGTTAATAACCAACCTAACAAAAATAATAATACTTACAAAGAATATATAAATTACGAAAAGCTGACAGTAGATCTCGATACTGAGACCTGGGATGACATATACAGGGTGTTTCAGTTTATTGTTGCACAACTTTAAGATTCGATAGAACTTTTAAAATTAATGCATAACGTCTACATAAACATGGGTCGAAAAATGCGTGGCTTCCGAAATACAGGGTGTTTAAATTTACTTTCTACAATAGTTTTTTTTAAATATTTCGAACAATATTTGATGTCTAACAGTGAAAATTGGTATACACGGGTTTTTTGGTACGACAAAACGAACCATGGGCATAGTTTTACTGTAGCCCCTAGAGGGCGCTCTCTACTGTACCTGTAGTGTATTAAAATGACCGAAAAAATTTTCTTAGTGCAATTTTTTGCTTTTTGAATAAAAAAACTGATTCTTCGTACTTTTCAACATAAAAAAGCTCTCTCGTGAAGTTTCGTTATAGCTAGCCGTTTTTGGGATATTTCGATTTTTAAGGTTCGATGCATTTTTAATTATTTATGATAAAATAACGTTAAAAACTCAGCATCTCGATAATTTCTAGAAGTAGGCTGTGCCTGCAAATATTTTTGAAATTGAAGGCAGAATAAGGTTAAACGTCAATTAAATGACAGTTAGTTTTGTTGTCTGTTGTTTTTATTCTCCAATCAAGAGTCAGCGGATATTCGTTTTGTGTATGGCTTTGTAAATGGAAACGCAGCAGAAGCAGCCAGACAATACGCACGAAGATTTCCAAACAGACGACATCCAACTGGCTCAGTATTTGTAAGAGTGCATCGCCAAATAATTGAAAATGGTTTTGGAAATCTCCAAAGGGATCAAAACATAAATGTTCGTCAGCGCAGATTTACCCGTATGATTCTGTGTGAGTTTGATAGAGATCCGACCACAAGTGTTAGGAGAGTTTCTGGTGCCTTGGGAATTTCAGCAAGCCATGTTCACCGTGTTCTTAGAAATGACCAAAGACGTCCTTAATATTTGCAACCTGTGCAAGGACTACAGCCAGGGGACGGAGAATGAAGAATCACATTTTGTCAGTGGATTCTTGATAGAACTGATAATAATAGGGAATTTTTAAGTAACGTTTTATGGACCGATGAGTCATGCTTCACTAGAAGTGGAGTGGTAAATTTTCATAATCAACATATTTGGTCGCATGAAAATCCGCATGCAGTTCGGGAAAGAAATTTTAAGCATGAATTTAGTGTGAACGTGTGGATTGGTATCTACCGTAATCGACTATTTGGACCCTACCTTTTGCCAGCAAGGTTAAATGCTGCGACCTTCTTGGAATTTTTAAAGGCTGAACATGCAAATATATGGGATGATGTTATGTTAGATTTGAGAATATTGGCCTGGTTCCAGCTTGATGGTTGTCCAGCTCATTATTCGAGAATAGTTAGAAACTGGCTGGACGAAAATTATCCATAAAGATGGATCGGCCGTGGAGGACGAGTCGCCAGGCCTCCACGATCCCCTGACCTAAATCCATTAGATTTCTTTGTGTGGGGATTTCTAAAAGAAAAAGTGTACCAGACTCCCGTAACCATAAGAGATATGCTAATAGACAGAATCTGGAATGCATGTTATGAAATAAGGCCTTATTTGAATAATGCTATACCACGTTCGATCATTCGTAGATGTGAATTGTGTATTGAACAATTGGGTTTACATTTTGAGCAACTACTTTAGATTTTGTATGTTTGTCCTAACTATCCAATAGCATCTTCGTTGTAAATTATTAATTTAATTTGTTAAAGATAATATTGGAAAATTAAACAAATTAATATTCTGTGTTTATGTGTTTATTTGGAGTTAGGAATTATTGCTGTGTTTAAAAACACAGTCTAAACGACCATCTTAATTACTTGTAATGCCCAAATCGAAAATGTAAAAAAAATATTATTTTCCCATAAATAATTAAAAATGCATCGAACCTTAAAAATCGAAATATTTCAAAAACGGCTAACTATAACGAAAACTCACAAGAGAGCTTTTTTTTGCAGAAAAGTGCGAAGAATCAGTTTTTTTGTTCAAAAAACAAAAAATTGCACTAAGAAAATTTTTTCGGGCATTTTAATACACTACAGGTACAGCAGAGGGCGCCCTCTAGCGGCTACAGTAAAACTATGGTTCGTTTTGTCGTACCAAAAAACCCTTGTATACCAATTTTCACTGTTATACATCAAATATTGTTCGAAATATTTAAAAAAAAAACTATTTTAGAAAGTAAATTTAAACACCCTGTATTTCGGAAGCCACGCATTTTTCGACCCATGTTTATATAGACTTTATGCATTAATTTTAAAAGTTCTATCGAATCTTAAAGTTATGCAACAATAAACTAAAACACCCTGTATAACTTTCCATAAGTTCCGAAGAAACTGTGACTTATGGTGTACCACAAGAGACAGTGTTAGGCCCGTTATGTTTTACTTTGTATATCAATAGCCTACTTAGATTGAAGTTGCAAGACACAATAATATGTTTTGCAGATGACACAGCGATAGTTTATTCTAATAACAATTCCTGGGATAATCTTAAAGAGACTGTTGAAAATGACATTATTTTAATTTTAGATTGGTTTAGACACAAATATCTAACAATCAATTTTCAGAAAACCAAGTATTACCGTCATTTACCTCTTTACAAATTAAATGTTACAATACAAAAGTACATTAATACATTCAGCTTATAAAACAAAATATTTAGGTGTTCATTTGTAGTATGTACGAGTATAGTAACTAATTTAAGACGATTATTATTTATACTCAAGAACCTCACTAAATATCTAGACCATAAATTATGCCGTACTAGCTTGGGGTCGTGCTCTCACCAACCAAATTAAGAAGCTAGAAATAATCCAAAAACAATTTTTGAAAATTATTTTTGAACGGCCAATTCTATATCCGTCTGATACGTTATATTCCGAAGCGAGAGTACTCGATCTTAGGTCACTCTTTTTTTACAATGTTTTGATCAATTTATTCAAAAACGTAACAAACCTCATTTCATTGGACCACAAATATAAAACAAGAGGTAAAGTCGAGGATATTGAAAGAACACCATTTGCAACAAGAAATGTAGGTCAAAGATGCTTCAGTTACCTCTCCACTTAACTTTTTACCAAGCCATACATATAAAATCAATTTCAAATAAAAATATATTCAAAATTGAAATAAAGAAATTCTTGTTAAATAATAATCGACATGAAATAGAAAAACTCACTAAAATGAAAATAAATTAGTATTAGAATATAATATTATTACACTTACTTTTATGGTTATGTTGTGTTTAACTTTATGTATTAATTGTATTTAACTGTTATAAGCAAACATTGTTATGAAAAATGTTCTCCCACGCACAAGAATAAATTTCTTCTGTGGGATTATTTCAGTTTATTTGCGTATATATGCATATTTATTTTCAATAAACTGTAATACCTTATACGTGAATAAACTGATATTATTATTATTATTATTATTATTATACAGGGTGGCAAAAAATCACGTTAGCACGTGCAGCCCCCTGAGCGGGGGTGACACCGCCCCCAAAATCTTAAATGGAAAGGGGCATCGAGTGATACCTTATTTTAAAGGTCTTTCAATTCCCTTTATAATAATATAAAATTATGTACTTCAGTTCAGTAGTTTTGAAGATTTATTGATTTAAAGCTTAAATCTAATACATCATCATTAGTGGAGATCAATACATTTAGCATCAAAGTAACTTAAAAATGAAGAATGAACTGACCCGTTAGGCAAGTAAATGTTGAAAATGGCCACCATGACTCTCCATGCAATAATAAAGATTTAGGTCGAAACGTTGCCGCGCATTTTGCAATATTTGAGGCACTCATTCACAATTCTTTGTCGCAGGTCTTCTAATGATGTTGACTGAGTAGCATAGATTTTGCTTTTTAAATGACCCCACATGAAGAAATCCAAAGGTGATAAATCTGGCGATCTTGGGGGCCATTCAACGGCACCTCTTCTACCAATCCATCGATCTGGAAACGTCTGATCTAAATATTGTCGAACACGTAATGCGTAATGTGGTGGGGCACCATCCTGTTGGAACATCAACCTATTCGCAATGTACCGCCGATCATTCTGATTTTCAATTATGGCTGTTAATGAAGGATCTATGGCGTCTTCCAGTAATTCCATATACATTTTACCGGTCAAATTTCCAGGTAAGAAAAAAGGACCAAATAAATGATCGCTAAAAATACCAGCCCAAAAATTTAATTTTTGTGGCTGCTGTGTATGAACCTGATGATAAATTCTGGGATTAGAATCGGACCAATATCGGCAGTTATGACGATTTACTACGCCATTTGAGAAAAAGGAACATTCGTCGGAAAAGCAAGTGTTGAATAGAAAATGTTCATCGTTTATAATTCGTTCACTCATATCTTCACAAAATTGTAATCGCCGATCAAAATCGTCTGCATTAAGTTGTTGTACCAGGTGAATTTTATACGGATGAAAACTATGGGCCTTTAGAATCCGTTGGACAGTACTTCGACTAACACCACACACAGTCACCAATTTGCGGGTACTTAAAGTAGGATCTACATAAACTTGCCCTAAAACTCCCACTTCTATTGCTTCGTTCCTTATGGGATTTTCAATGTTGCGTTTTTCATTGGCGACTGACCCAGTTTCCCGAAATTTAACTACAAGTTCTAGAACATATTTTCGATGCACGTTACTGGTTAATGGTTAATTTATGTAATAAAGCATTACAAGTTATTTTAGCAACAAAGTTTGGTCAAATCAATCGCAAACTATGTACTAAATTCCTATTTAAAATAATTACGAGATATTTCCTTATCTTTCTTCAAGAAATAACTTTTTGCCACGATAGCTATTTTCAACAACAAAATGATAAACAAACCATGGGCGTAGTGAAGAAAAGCATTTACTTATAAAGTAAATTCTTTTAGTCAAATTTCTTCTGAAAGTAGTACAAACTAATCTGATGTACCTATTAAAGTCTACTTTAAGCTTTAAATCAATAAATCTTCAAAACTACTGAACTGAAGCTCATGTATTTTACATCATTATAAAGGGAATTGAAAGACCTTCAAAATAAGGTATCACTCGACCCCCCTTTCCATTTAAGATTTTAGGGTTGGTGTCACCTCCGTCCAGGGGGCTGCACGTGTTAACGTGATTTTTTGCCAAACTTGTGTCCCTCTCGAAAACAAAATCGACGGGTCTGAGCGTTTTTACCAAAAAAACACTGAGCTGCCAGTAAATGCGTCTGTTTCGTTTTCGATGGGCCACCCTGTATATCAAAGACTAATAAAACTACAAGAGTTTTTTTGTACCTACCTGCATCGTTCTGCGACCTGTCATTCATAGAATTCAACCTTGCTCCACCCGATGACCTAGACTGTATATCCCTATGACTGAGCCAGGGATCGATCTGAGTTTTTTTGTTTTCTGTTTCCACTATGTCGTCGAAATCGGATAATTTATTGAAGTGTAAATTACTAGAACTACCGTCTAAAGCTAAATCTATTTGTCCTATTACGGCAAGCAATCCTATCAAGCTGAAAGTAATCGACAATTATTAAATTCGAGATTTGGATTTTAGCATATTGTTACTTACATAGTTAAGCCATGTGCGAACATCGAAATTTATCATCTGGAGTCGTGTATATGTCCATTGCTTTCAAAAGGATCCAGATTTATATTTCTTCATATATTTAATGTATATTATGGTAAAATGCCACGTTAATGTCAAAATTGACACTTTCAAAATGGATATCACTTATTTTCATTGTTGAGATGCCGGTTGGTACTTAGTGCAATTATTGGGTATGCTGAAATCTTTTTCCATACGTGTGGAACTAAGAAAAATGTATAAAGCACCTATTCCTGCGTAGCTTTGAAGGGTAATAGTAGAAGATCCGAACTAGAAACGACCTTCATCTATCAGCTTAATGCATGGAAAGCATTTTATATGGGGTTTAGACAACATTGTCACATTTGCGAGCTATAAGTTTTCTGGGATTGTTGGCGAGAAAAAGTTGTTAAAAGATAGAAGTTGACCCAGGAGGATCCACAGACGACGCAGTTCCACATACTATGAGGAAAGAGCTGAGCGGTGGCGGAAACCAAGCAGAAGCAGAAAACATGAGCTCACTGACGCAAATGTCATCGAAGCAGAAAACGATCGAAAAACTGATGCTGATTATAGACGACCAGGCGAGGCAGATTCGAGACCTAATGGAGACCATCAAGGACCAGACAGCCAAAATTGACAGCCTGGCCGCCCAGGTAACAATATTACTAAAGTCAAAAGAATCCCCTAAAGAACCGACAAAGACCCTAAAAAGACCACTGAGAAGTGTTACTGATGATCATCTCACATCCACAGACGAAGACGTACAGACCGAAGGATTTGTAAAAGTAAAATCAAGAAGGAGGAAAGGCTGATCGATCAACCCAAGACTTTCCTCCTCTTCCGAATACAGGATCAATTCCATTTCACACCTCCCCCAATTCATCAAATCGAAACACTATTAATGCTTCTACTACCAAGCCAGGGACCATGTTATCTACCTGTCAGGTGACTCCGTCAGCCGATGTTACTTCTCCTCCGTCATCTCGTCCAACCGTCGTGGCATCAACACAACCCTCACGACAAGGGCGCATAACCCCGATCGTCTTACGCGACGGGACGAGATGGCGTACTTTAAGTTTCAAGTTTATTTCCCTAGGTATTAAAATAGATCGCGCGGTTGCCGTCTATGTGGGAATAAGGATTATTCCTAAATCCGAGGACGACTACCGTAAGATCATTCGTCTATTCCGAGAGGAAGAAGTGCCCCATCACACTTTTCCTCTCCCTTCGGAACGGAACATCCATGTGGTGGTTCGAGGAGTTCCCGTCAACTTTTCGGATACTGAGATTAAGGGAGCAGAGGGGACTTAGCTCTCTCCACATCATTCGATTGAAGCGCAGTGGCGGCGCGCCCATATCTTTGGTGGTCGTGATACTGCCCAAGACTGAAAAGTCTCAGCAAGTGTTCAACGAACACGAACTGCTGGGACTGGCCATTCGAGTTGAGGTTCAGAAGAACTCCAGACTCATTGGGCAGTGTCACCGCTGCCAAAAGTATGGGCATGTCATATTGCACTGCACCGCCAAGGAGGAACTTGCAAGTTATAGCGCAAAGGCGCAATATATCATACGCGGACGCAGCTCGGGAGGCAACCTTGCCTGCCCCCTCTGCCCAACCTCCCTTGAGCAGGCAAAATGTGGACCTGGCAACCGCGTTAAGGTCCTTACAACAAATAATAAGCCCACTGATTAGCGCTACCCAAGCGTTGCAGGCGATATTTTCTGTAAATGTCTAGGTACAATAGTAGACAGCCTGCATTCATCAAAACTCTTTTTTGGAATTGTTTGGACATGAGGGATACTCCCAAAAAACTTGAATTTCATCAAGCTCTTCTGGATGAAGGTATAGATGTGGCCTTGCTGCAGGAAACGTTGCTTAATCCGGGAGATCGTTTAGCTCTCCCGAATTATGATGTTATCCGAGGTGACAGATTGAATGGTCGAGGCGGCGGTTTAGCAGTGTTGATTAAGCGCGGTATGGACTACGTATATTATAGAAGCACTAATGCGGAGATGCATAGCATCGAAGCGGCTTCTGTGGTGGTCAATATGGCGGGAGCTGTCTCGTTGAAGATAACATCGGTGTATGTCAGGTGTGGTGCCAGGCTACAAGAGGCGGATCTGGAGGTCCTTTTGGACTACTCGGGTCCGCTTATTGTGGCAGGGGACTTCAACTGCAAACATCAAGCATGGAATTCTAGGTTGAATTCCACTAGTGGGATTCGATTATACAACCATGTGATGCGAAATAGGTACCTTATACATAGCACTGAAGAGCCGACACATCATCCATTCAACCATCTTCAGGCACCAGATGTCATCGACTTCGCGATATCTAAAAACTGTAGATACAGTATCTCTTCTCTAATCTCTGGTGACCATCTACCTGTTGTCTTGGATGTGGGCAATGAGCAAACTTCTGAGGAGGCAGCTCCTCCAAGGAAACGCATTGATTGGGACTTATACAAGTTGCTCCTTAGAGATTTTCCCAATATCCCGATTATAGATGATGAGTCTGGAATAGATGCCGCTCAAGCGGAGTGGACAAGTTTCATTCAAGCAGCTCTACAGCGTGCAGCTGTACTTCCTGTACAACGACACGGCAGACCTATTTTGCCTGCGGACATTCGTCAGAAAATCTCTGACAAAAGAGCCGCTATTAAGCAGGCAAAAAGGTCTTGTCATCCTGATGACATTCGTAGGGCTACAAATCTTGTCCATGTAGTGTGAAACGCACTGCACGAAATCTGCAACGAGCAATGGAGCGACTTTCTGGTGGGTGGGTTGATTCAAGTAGTCCTCTCTGGAGGGTCGCAAAGTCACTCAGAAACGGAAAGCGAGAACAACTCCCACACATCCACGGTCCTGAAGGCATAGTCTTCAGAACGGAGGATAAGGTCGAGATTTTCGCTGGTGCCATGGAAAAACAGTTCTCTCCCAACTATGAGTCTCGATAATGACCTCGACGAGGAACAGCACATCGTATGGTCCGTCAGGAGATATTTTAGGGCCAACGGCGTTAGCGGCGGTACTGAATCCTCTTCAGATGACTCTTCTTCAGAAGATTCGTCTGAGACTCCACATAGCACATTAGCGGAACCCTCCGAGTTTCCACATTGCACACCAGTGGAGCTCCTAAGTCGTATTAAAGACCTCAAGGTGCGTAAAGCACCTGGGGAGGATGAAATCACCAACAAGGCGTTGGTGCTGCTCTCGCCGAAAGCCCTGACATACTTGGTGACAATAATCAATGCACCGCTCAGAATCCAGTACTTCCCTGCTGGGTGGAAGACTGCTGAGGTGATCATGATTCCAAAGAAGGTGGGTTCGATATTTCCTCAGGATTACCGTCCCATAAGTCTGCTGTCAGCTCCTTCTAAGCTCGCCGAAAAGGTGATTTATCGTCACCTTGAGAATTTTTCGTCAAATCACCACGTGATTCCTGACGTCCAATTCGGTTTTCGGTCCGTGCATAGCACCGAGCTACAGGCAGTCAGGCTGGTGGAGCATGTAACCAGAGGGTTCACCCTTAGCATGAGTACTGGCATCTTGCTTTTGGATGTCTCAAAAGCCTTTGACAAGGTGTGGCACGCGGGCCTCCTCTATAAACTAATCCAAACGGGTTTTCCTTTTTGGCTTCTAAAATTACTGAAATCCTTTCTTGAAGGAAGGGAGGTTCGGATCAAAATTAACAATATTTTGTCAACAACACGGCCAGTACGGGCCGGTGTTCCTCAGCGTTCTGTCCTAGGACCAATTCTTTATTCGCTTTTCATCCATGATGTCCCTTCCCCCAGCAACTGTGAAGTCTCCCTCTATGCTGACGACACTGCACTTGTCGCCCAGTCGTGTACTGGTAATCTGGTTCACGATGGGTTGCAGAATGCGGTGGACGAAGTTCTAGAGTGGGCGGAACGGTGGCTGATAGAAATTAATCATTCGAAAACGCAGCCTATTTATTGTACCAAAAAACGTCGCGGCCCCCCAGCAGAGGTTTCTGTAGACGGAAATCGTGTACCATGCCAAGTATCTCGGTGTCACCCTTGATAAAGGCATGACCTGGCAGAAACATACAGCATCCATAAAAACAAAATTCCAAATTGCGTTTCGGCAACTATATCCTTTGTTATGTAGATCCTCCAAATTGAGTTTGATAAACAAAGTTCGACTATATAAAATGATTATTAGACCATCCATTACTTATGCATGTGCCTTCAAGTACTGCAAAGCAGAACTTTGCGGACAATTTGCAATGCTCCATGGTATGTCTCAAATGAGACACTACACAGAGACCTTGACATTCCTTACTTGAGGGATTATGTCAAGATTAAGGCGCAGCGACGTTATAGTCAAGCGGAATCGCACAGCAACCCTCTGTTGAGTGACTCAGTGGACTACACAGTGGAGCAAGTTCGTAAACATATAAGGCCACGGCTCGCACTGTAATCAAAAGTTAGCGTGAATCTTTAGTAAACTCAAAATTACACTCTAACAAAACCGAATCAAAAAATTTGTTTAGTTCACCTCAAAATTGATCCGTGTACCAAATCAAAAAGCCTCGGTGTTTCCTCTTAAACTAAGCATATCTGTTTTTCTTTGCTCTTCTCCTTTTTTCTTCTCTTTCCCTTTCTCTTTTTCCTTGACTTTGTCTGGTTTCTGGGCAACCAGGACTGACAGATAGGACTAACGTACATTAGACAGTGACTAGTGGGCAAAGGTCCTACGGACAGCCCAGACAAACAAATGACGAATAGTATAGCATTTTATATAATAATAATCATCATCTTTATTCATTGATTGCTAAGTAAAAAGACATGAATTGCTACCCGGAAAAGGCGAAGTTCAGCTTGCATCCTTAGGGTAAAAGCTGGTCTTTCACTTAACGCTACATACGTACTTAACTACATATCTTATATATAAAATCAAGCTTAAAATATGAAGATATAAGGATAAGATAAGATATAACAATAATATTCAATTATCAGCAGCAGGAAGGAAAAATTGACAGAATAGAAGAAGAAGGAAAAAAGGGAAAAATGCAATGAAGTATATTGATCAGATACGTTTACGTGCATATTGAGATTATACAAAGTGTAAAAATAAGCCATTTAGATATTTAACATGATTCATTACTATAGCGAGATTTCTGAAACCTGGAGCTGCATCTTGTGAAAAAATCTGATTTTAAGTATTGAGGGACCGCGCCGATGCGAAAGGGTCCCGAGTCTGCCTGTTAGAGAAGAGTTATCGCCGGACAGCATTCCTCTGGACAGCATCGAGCATAAATAATGTAGTTGGGGCGGTAGCACCCCAACAAGTGAGCAATACTCGAGGTAAGGCCTTATCTGGGCCTTGTATAGAATGAAAAGGAATTGGATCTTGTATCTGTTTAGGAATACGAGTATATGAATAAAATAAATAAATAATAAAAAGCTTTATTTAAGTATTTTAAATTAATATAATTTAGTGGTGACGATGACTGATTCTTCTTCGTCTTCTATTGGTATTGCTGGGTGGTGGCACCACGTACAGATCTTCGTTGATATTGTAGAGGTTCGGAGTGGCCGCGCAGTCTACGTTGAACCACCAGTCACATACCCGTGCGAACTGGTTGAAGACGGTTCCGTTCGGGCATAGAAAGCTGAATTTCTGGCCGTTAGGGAGACACCAGTGCCATACCTGAAAGAATATTGCTTGAAAAAAATGAAGGTAAAAAATTGTCTAGGATTCAATTCTTTAAAGAAAATACAGGGTGCGGCAGTGAGGATGGACGGTTTTAAAAAAATCATAAAATAGTTAATTTTTACTCGAAAACAAATTTATTGATGGAATCAGGTTCACAAGGAAATAGCATTTGAGACAGTCAAGTGTGGAAAATCACATCTGGCATGTGGTGGCCGAAATCGTTGATGCAGTGCTGGAGGCGTTCTTGGAAGTTCGCGTAGACTCTCTCCAACATCGCTCTCTCAACTTGGGCGACTTCCACGCGAATTTCGCCATTCAATTCGTCTAGAGTTCGGGGCTTGTTCGCGTATACTCTAGCCTTGAGGTGTCCCCATAAGAAAAAATCGCATATGGATAAATCTGGGGACCGAGGAGGCCAATGAACATCGCCAAACCTGGAAATAAGGCGACCAGGGAAGAGAGGGCGAATAACGTCCATGGATACTCGGGCTGCGTGGGCGGTCGCCCCGTCCTGCTGGAACCACACACGTCCGATTGGAACACGTCACCGTCGTAATTCAAGGAGAAAGAAGTTGGTGATCATGTCGACGTAGCGGTCTGAGTTCACGGTAACATCACGACCATTACCGTCTTCGAAGAGGTCAGGACCAATGATGCAAGTTTGCGATACAGCGCACCAAACCGCTACTTCTGGGCTGTGCAGCGGTCTTTCGTGTAACTGTTGCGGATGTTCATTAGCCCAATAATGACAATTCTGCTGGTTAACCATGCTGTTTAGGTGAAAGTGTGCTTCGTCACTCATAAACAAAATGAGATTCTTATTTTGATCGATCAGTGCTTCCATCTCACGTGCGAAGTTCATTCGTTGTGTATAATCTCCGGGCTGCAACTGTTGCACAATAGCCAATTTGTAGGGGTGAAAGCGGAGATCCATATGCAAAATTCGCCTTACCGAACGATCACTAAGGCGAAGTGCAGCAGCATGTTTCCGGGCAAATCGAGTCGGACTGCGAAGAAAGACCTGTCGAACGCGTTCAACATTTTCAGGAGTTCGAACTGTTCGCGGCGCTCCTCTTGGCCTTCTGTTGATCAGTTCACCACGCCTGCGAAGTGATTCAACCCAACGAAGGATGTTGTTTCGAGAGGGAACAGCTCTATTCCGATGAATGTTGAAGTTGCGACGAAACTCACGCTGTACGACGATGACTGACTCATTATTCCGGACGGAACAATCATAGGCGAAAACGCGGTGCTTCACCGTCCAAGGCTCCATAACGACAACTGGTAAAATAATACTAGGATCTCACGAGTCAAACGGCACCCTCCCCACGTCTCTCGTAAACGGAGGCGGAGAGTACTACCCATCCCAAAAACGTCCGTTCTCTCTGCCGCACCCTGTATGATTCTCAGAATTAAGGAAAAGATATTTTGTCGACGTGCTTAGAGAGTCAAGGAAATAACTTTTCTGTATCTAATATCATCACATGCTACATTTATTTTCTTGGTTGTAGTGCAAATAAAAAAGTTCCATTGGTTTTTTATATTTCTTTAAAAAAAGTCAGAGAAAAATTTTAGTTCTTCCCAAATACCTCAGTAAACCTTGAAATCTTTACAAGTTTCTCAACGGCATGTAAATATGCCCCAAAGAACGCAACTTTTTCCTAATTTAACCTAGGCAGTATCTCCCTCACGTATTGAGGTTCCCATGCATAGGATCCTTATTGTACACACCCTGTATATTAATCATTACCAAGATCACCACACCTTACTCTTGATTCAGACCTTATTGCTTAAGTTTATCAAAGACCATCGTCCTTTTCAAATAAATGTACACAGTCAAATATGCCAATGCACTTATTGAAAAATTGGTGAATATTTCTCTTTTTCGAATACAGGGTGTCCGCAAAGTTGATCTTGAAAACATAAGCAATTTTTCTTAGTACCGCATACACCAATGTCTTAAGGGAACCGAGATAAAGGGCAACATCAAAAATATCTGAATACCGTCCTGTAGCCGCGACATCACCGACTGGTACAAGGTCACGGACTCAACCCGACGACAGAACGGGGTCGAGGTCAGTGTGTCAGGTCAGTATGCAACCTTCAACCGACGGTTACAGTCACGCGTATAGAGGTAATCGCGTAGACGAGAATCCCTCAACAAGCACTAGAGTCGTGGCTAGAGAAGTGCAAGTATCAAAAACTAAAGTGTGGCAAACGCTGCGTGAAGAGGGGTTGTATCCGTTTCACGCCCAACGTGTACAAACCCTTCAACCTGACGATTTTCTAGCAAGAGTGCGGTTTTGTGAGTGGTTGTTGCATCAACATGACAATAATCCGGACTTTTTGAAGTGCATATTGGTGACAGACGAATCTACGTTCACGCGTAATGGGGTGAATAACTTTCGCAATACTCATGTTTGGTCAGTAGAAAATCCGCACGCTGTCCGTCGGGCACATTTTCAACAAACATTTTCGGTGAATGTTTGGGCAAGCATGGTGAACGGTATGCTCATTGGACCATTTATTCTCCCAAATCGATTGGACGGGATGCAATACCTAGACTTTTCACGCAACATTTTGCCTTCCTTGTTGGAAGATGTGCTATTAAGTGTAAGACAATCAATGTGGTTTCTGCATCTGCTCGGTAGCGCATCGGCTGATTTCATTTTCTGTTGGAGCGGTATGATTTCGGGCAGAGACGTACTTAGCCCTTCTCGTCAACTGGACAGTGAGTTCTTTTTCCTTTATTTTTTTTTACTTGGTCGCCCTCGTTTCACTACACATTACCTTTGTTATTTCAAGGGTAGTTGTTTCTGAAAAGGAAAACCCCAACTTTGCGGACACCCTGTATATTGGTTACCTGATTAAAGGGGTGGCAACGTAGTGTGTTCAGTATCCGACTTTATTGATGATAGTCATTAGGTTCTCGAATCTTAAGAGACGAAGGACGGAGCACGTTGATAATATTTGATTCATCGGTAGAAATCACAAAAAAAAATCAGATCGCTAAGTCAAAAAAACCGCCGACAAGGCGTATAAAAAATAATCAATTTGGCGAACCTGGCTCCCCTGCCCTACTGGATTTGTAACACTGAAATCTAGAATGTTGGACTAACCTGGCACTGTGCTTCTGGATCGCTGTAATACCCTGGAAGTCTCTGGTCACAACTAAAAGATAGCCCCTGTGGAATTTCATTGTAAATGGGGTAATCTTGTCCTGGTACGTAGCCGTCCAGTTGCTGAAACGAATTCATCTCATGTAATTGTACAATATATACTAAGTGACATATAAATCCGAACACCCAGTTTAAATGGTTTTATTTTAATAAAAGTTGGTGAATGTATTTATCTTACTGTAAATAACAAGTGAAAAAATTGTCAGCCTTATCAGTTGGACATTTCGGTTTTTATACTGCTTTTTTTAATTCACTAACGCTCTAAAAATGAATATTTCAGCCGCAGTAAAGAATCAACGTTGGCGGATTTTGGTTCTTGACATCCTTGACGATCGGTTACGATGCCTAGAGTACGGAGACCTGTACGATTTCGTCAACTTAGTGAGTTTGATAGGGGCCGTATAGTGGGACTTCGGGAAGCTGGACTTTCTTTTCGGGCAATTGCAGTTAGAGTGCAAAGAAGTGTAGACACTGTGGTTAGGTGTTGTCAGGCATGGCTTCGAGAAGGCCGTACGCAAAGAGCAAGGGGCACTGGACGCTGCCGTAGAACAACAGACCGTGAAGATCGCCGCCTAAGGTTATTGGCTTTAAGGGACCGTTTCTCCACTACCAGGTCCATTGCAAATGAATGGTTTGCAGAACACGGAAGACCTATTGGCATGCGAAGTGTTTACCGACGAATGAGAAGTCTTGACTTGTTTTCATACCGGCCACACTGGGTCCTCCCTTTAACTCGAGAACACCGACGTAATCGCCTTGAGTGGTGCAGACAACGGTCACTCTGGGATCAGGAATGGAACAGTATTGTCTTTAGTGATGAGTCTCGATTTTCTTTAGGCATGCACGATGGTCGTGCCAGGGTTAGAAGGCGACGTGGTGAAAGGAGGAATCCACAGTTTTTTGTTGAAAGACATGTTCATCACACTGTTGGAGTTATGGTTTGGAGTGCTATAGCTTATGGTTCCAGGTCACCTTTAATCTTCATCAGAGGTAACATGAACGCGCAGCGTTATATCTACGAAGTTCTAGAACCCCATCTTTTACCCTATCTTGACACCCTGGCAGATACAACTTTCCAACAAGATAATGCCCGACCACATGTTGCAAGAGTCACAATAGACTTCTTTCAACATAATGATGTCACATTGTTACCATGGCCATCCCGATGGTCTCCCGACTCCCCAATTGAGCACGTGTGAGATATGATGGGTAGGAGATTGCTCAATTTGCAACGTCCTCCTCAGACTCTAGAAGCACTTCGAGAGGAGTTGGTGGTTGCCTGGAATGAGATACCACAGGAGGACATTGACCACCTGATCAGAAGCATGCCTAGGCGCGTTGGAGAATGCGTAGCACATCAGGGTGCATCCACACATTATTAAACGTCAAAGGGCTTTAAAGCAGTGCAATCATTTTGAAATTTTTATCATTTACTTATTATGCTTCATTAAATACTTATAAAAAATTTTATTAAAATAAAACCATTTAAACTGGGTGTTCGGATTTATATGTCACTTAGTATAGTTTAAGCATGTACAAAAACAAAAATAAAACATAATTTTAGTTGAAATTCCTCGTCTTACAAGTATTGAAAAATATGTAGGTGTCAGTTTTGCAAACAATGTCCTTAACAGATGACTTACTCCTTCTTTGCATTTCGTATTTATAAATGTTGATAATTATTTGTTTATCGCTAACGCTAAAATGCAGCCTTTTAGCTCTTTTTTTAGCCGATGTGCAGCTTATATCAACAACTTCATCAGCTGTATGCTCCCTCTCTTGAAATATATCAGCGTCTTCTTCACGCAATAATCACGCGATGATCACTGTTTTGGTTTAGTCTCTCTTTTCGATACATACATAATAATAACCCCGTTATTCCGATTCTTCTAATGATATTCCGGAGACATTTGATGCTCCCACTTTGATCAATCAACCGGTGCATATTTCACCTGTACTAATTGCCGTACTACTTTTTAAGCTTTTTCTCTTTAAATGCAACCGCATTCATTTGTATTGTATAATTCTGTACAAATGCACGCAATTAATTAAAAAAACACAAACCATCCTTGATGTAAACTGTTCCCATAAGCACTGTCAACGATTAATTTTTAAATACAAAATTATGCAAAAGCGGAGCAGTGTGCAGTTTTTTAATATTAATGAGCTACGGAACAATCAGATCCCAGATCAAGCAGACCGCTTACTCGCATAGTGTTGCACCAGATTTAGCAGCGGCGCGGGCTATAAAAAATCTACAGGGCATTCATTCAACATTTAAACTGTCCCAGAGAGTTTCCACAAAACTTATCTTTGTATTTTAATCATGGGATTGAAGCGCCGTGGCAGGCAAAGCAAGGTAGCTGCTCCCCCTTTTCCTAGCTCGGCAAAGTTTAAATGGAGAAAGCATTTTTTACAAAAATTAAATTGTTCATGCACACGCAAGTTGAATCATTATCTGTTAGATGAGAAATTAGTAGGATTAGCTAAAATACAGGGTGTGCGCAAAGTTGGGGTTTTCCTTTACAGATCTTGAAAACATAAGCAATTTTTCTTAGTACCATATACACCAATGTCTTAAGGGAACCGAGATAAAGGGCTCTGCAACATCAAAAATATCTGAATACCGTCTTGTAGCCGCGACCCGCGACATCACCGACTGGTACAAGGTTACTGGCTCAACCCGACGACAGAACTGGGTCGGGGTCGGTGTGTCAGGTCAGTATGCAACCTTCAACCGACGGTTACGGTCACGCGTGTAGAGGTAAACGAACCCGTATAATCGATTGCGTTTCAAAAAAAAATAATAATGGCACACTCATACACCAATAATGAACTCGTTGATATGTTGTTAATTTATGGCGAATGTCTTCAAAATGCTACAGAGGCTTCGCGAGTGTATGCAGATCGTTTCCCTAGACGACATCATCCAAGGCCCCGCAGATTTGTGTACCTGGTCCAGAGAGTCAGGGATACCTGCCATTTGGAGGAATTTCGATGTGGGCACAGTGGGAGGCCTAGACAACCACGAATGGTGCAAGTTGAGGAAGAACTACTGAATCGCGTAGACGAGAATCCCTCAACAAGCACTAGAGACGTGGCTAGAAAAGTGCAAGTATCAAAAACTAAAGTGTGGCAAACGCTGCGTGAAGAGGGGCTGTATCCGTTTCACGTCCAACGTGTACAAGCCCTTCAACCTGACGATGTTCCAGCAAGAGTGCGGTTTTGTGAGTGGTTGTTGCATCAACATGACAATAATCCGGACTTTTTGAAGTGCATATTGGTGACAGACGAATCTACGTTCACGCGTAATGGGGTGAATAACTTTCGCAACACTCATGTTTGGTCAGTAGAAAATCCGCACGTTGTCCGTCGGGCACATTTTCAACAAATATTTTCGGTGAATGTTTGGGCTGGCATGGTGAACGGTATGCTCATTGGACCATTTATTCTCCCAAATCGATTGGACGGGATGCAATACCTAGACTTTTTACTCAACATTTTGCCTTCCTTGTTAGAAGATGTGCCATTAAGTGTAAGACAATCAATGTGGTTTCTGCACGATGGTGCACCGCCCCATTTTAGACGCGAAGTGCGTGAGTTTTTGAATGAATTATTTCCGAATAGGTGGATCGGACGTAATGGACCCGTAGCGTGGCCTCCGCGATCTCCAGACTTAACACCATGCGATTTTTTTCTTTGGGGAGAAATGATACGCTTAGTGTACAAAACTGAAGTGCATACGGTTGACGAACTTCGTCTCAGAATTGAACAAGCTGGTGCTTTCATTCGGGGTTGGACTCTCAAAGCCTGCACCGATGCTTGGCTACGTCGTGCACGCAATGTGTTTTTGAATCAAACGGCGATAACTCCTAACAATACCTATAAAGTACGTTTACCTAAAAACTGAAAACGCGGCAACGCCGTCATATTTGTTACCTCTGTTCGTGGTCTGCACCACCGCCTGCGTCTGCTCGGTAGCGCATCGGCTGATTTCATTTTCTGTTGGAGCGGTATGATTTCGGGCAGAGACGTATTTAGCCCTTCTCGTCAACTGGAGAGTGAGTACTTTTTCCTTTATTTTTTTTTACTTGGTCGCCCTCGTTTCACTACACATTACCTTTGTTATTTCAAGGGTAGTTGTTTCTGAAAAGGAAAACCCCAACTTTGCGGACACCCTGTATATTAAGGGTACAGGGAAAAAAGATGAATGTCACAGAAAGTAAGTTTCAAGAAAAGTGAATTTAAAAAGTTTGAAGACTAGTTGTATAGGGTGGGTCAAAGATTCGACAGAGTATCATAGATTCCTTATTACAAGGAACTGAAAAAAAGTTATATTACAAAGCGTCGGACATCTGACAATGCCTGGCTATATGCAGGAACTGTAATTTTACAGGGGATGAAGAAAATCTTATCAATTTTATACTACCGGCCTTAAGACTCTACAACTTTGGTCACAAAAAATAAATGTCGTTAAACACATATTTAATGCGATTTTATCTAAATGAAGATCTAATTGACAAAATTAGTGCAGATAGCAGATATTGCTGCTAACTTTCTTTGCAGTTAGCAGATATTGTACTATGATGCATAGATGGATTTAGTGAGATTCGTGTTAGAAAAACTGTTATTCATTATATCAAATTAAAAGTTTAATGCTTTTACAAATCAAAAAGATTACAGCATGTATTCTCAGTTACACCTTAAATGAACGTTCTGCTTTTTTACTTGACATATGGCCAATTGTCGTAAAACATGTGACAGTTCTTAGATATAACACTTATAATCTGAAATGACGGGTGGCTGTTTTGGTCTCATAGGCAACTCCTGAGGCTCTTCGCTTCACTTCAATTTTTCCATCGGGATTATAACATAGCACTTTGATGTCCGTGACTACATTGTCCCTGTCTGGTCTAATTGTTGAGTATCGCTGCACCTCTGTTCGAGAGTAGTCCTTGACGAAGCCGTAACTCAATTGGACCACCTCATATGGTTCTGCTTTTGTCTTAGCTTCTTTTGACGCCTTAACATAGTC